TCAGGACCTTTCACTTGCCAAGAAGGTGCTTATGCCACTGAACTATATCCCTGGATCCACAAGACTTTATCTTAACAACAACAGTAAGAAACTATGACAAAGATAAATATCTTATATACAGAACCACACTCACAAATGTTATTTTATTTTATTTTTGTGGTACTGGGAATTGAACTCACGACCTTGAGATTGCCAGGCAGGTGCTGTGCCACTGACCTATATCCTTGGCCCCAAACTATCCTCATAATCCCTATGGCAAAACATGATCTGAAATGATTAAGAGGTTATGTAGAGATTTTATTTATTTTGCTTGATGTAAATGTATTTTTCTACCACAGATGTCACATTCAAATCTGGGCTGTTACCCCAGACACCTGTAGGGATGTTATGAAATGTTATGGAAGTCATGTTTCAGGAGGTTGTTTTTTTGTTTTGTTTTGTTTTGAGAGGGTCTCAGTATGTAGAGACAGTTATCCTGGGATTTGCTTATATAGCCCAGGCTGGCTTTGAGGATAATGATGATCCTACTGCTTCAGCCTCCTGAACGCTGAGATTACAGGCATGTGCCACCACATCCATCTATAAGATGTATTTTATACCCTATTACCTTTCAAAAATCTGAAAAATTCTGAATACCAAACTGTAGACCTGAAGGTGTGGGCTGTGCACATGGTTACACTTTAAAGAAGGTGGTATCGGGAGTTTCCCATGAAGAGATGGGACTGGAGGTAAGCAGTGGAGAGAGGGAGGGAGTTGCGTGAACATCTTGTGGGAGTGGGGTCTGCTGTCCAGGCAAGGGACAGAGGATAAACAGGAACATGGAGCACCCTGCTTGACCTGCCAAGGCTGTTTCACACACGGGAGAACGGTGGTACCTCTTGAATTTGAAGCTGCTTCCACTTAGGTCAGGTAAGAAGCTCAACTTCAGCACTGCGGACAGAGCCTTTGCACACACACCCCGCTGTCGCTGTCCGTGGTTCTGTTTTACAATCTGTTCGACAAAAGGTAAACTTGGGCTTGGTTCCAGTAAGGAGGGTGACAGTCACTATAGTCTTGCATTGTCTGCCAACCCAAGATGGGTTTGCGAAGCAGAAATACAAAAGTAAAAATACGTAGAAGCCTTCTTTACACTGTGCATCTCAAGACTGTAAACGCACCAGATGTTGGTGGTGCACACCTCTAACCCCAGCACGTAGGAGGCTGAGGCAGGAGGATTCCAGGAAGTTTGAAATCAACCTAGGCTACATGGGGCGTTTATGGCCAGCCTAAATTATTTAGTGAGGCCCTGTATAAAAAAATCAAGAACAAACAAAAAATCCACAAAAACCAAGACGACAACAATGAAAAATCATAAACTCAAGTCAAGCAAAATAGGGCACTGGTTTAGAAGTCAGAACATAGTCATCTTCTACTTAAACCCTTCTCATGGATTTCCATGGTACCATAAGTAGAAGCCAGCTGTCTCCCAGTGCTCTGGTGGCCTTAGCATTTGAAGGTGTGTCCCCTGGGCATGTACCTTGCCTTCCCCAAGCACTTTTCCAAATGTCACCTTCCTAGTGAAGCCAACACTGGCCATCCTGTCCAAAGCCACGTAAACAGAACACCTCGAATTGTACATACTTGCCATCCACTCCTACTGTTGATGTTTCTCTTTTTGAGGGGGGGTACCGGGAAGTGAACTCAGGGCCTTGCTCTCGCCGGGCAGGTACTGCGCTGCTGAGCTGCAGCCCCCAGCCCGGAAGTTTCTCATTAAGTGGTCATTTTCTCTCCCACTTACTAGGTTTAAAGCTTTCTCCCCCACTCACTAGGATGTCAGTTTCACTAGAAGACTTTATCATTTGTTCACCGCCGGCTGGATCTTCAGTGCCTAGAACAAGTTCTGATACAAAGTAGGTGCTCAAAAAATGCTTCGTGGGCTGGAGGTGCAGCTCAGTAGTAGCGCACATGCTCTGAATGTGCAAGGCCCCATGGTTTGATCCCTAGCACTACAAAATAAAACATTCAAAAATCAAAGAAAAAAACCAAACATCTGCCAAATGACCTAATCTCCTGAGCATGCCAATATACCAAGGCGAGGTGTGGACTCACCCTGAGCTTCCCTACACCCTGGCCCTGGGTGCAGCCCCACTTACAGCAGCTATTGTCCTCTACGGATCCTTTAAGGACTAGTAACACTGGGACTGGATCTCAGGACTTCCAGGGATCAAACCCAGGGCTTTTTCACTGAGCTACATCCTCAGCCCATATGTATGTATGAATGTATGTGTAGAGACAGGTCTTCATAAAAGACTAAGTTCCCCAGATTGTAGCCAAACTCTCCATCCTCCTGTCTCCGCTTCCCAGAGTGCTGGGCTGCGAGGTGTGCGCCACCACACCCGGCTGAGCCTCTCTGCCTCACATACACTCCTATGAAGACAGAATTCTGAGAAATGACAGGAAGGACTCTCTTCTCGAGAGATGCGCCACACGTCGGCAACGCTGCTGAACGTTCTCACTCAGCCTCCAGTTGGAGCACCTGCTGGATGGCAGGTGCTGTGCCAGCAGCTAGGGACGAGGCGGGAAACAAAGTGAAGACCGCACTCCTGCGCAGCCTGTGTTGCATGGAGAAATGCAGCCAAATACATGCACAACATAAAGTCTGACATCTGAAGAGAAAATACAAAGGAGTAGCTAAACAGTACAGGCTGAGCTGGGCGCTGCGGCTCACATCTGTGGCTCCTGCTACTTGGGAGGCAGAAGAACTGCTTGAGCCCAGGCGTTCAGCACCAGTCCAGGCAACATGGTGACACTCCATGTGGCAAAAACAAAAACCAAAACATTTAAAAAAAAAATGGGGCTGGTGAGATGGCTCAGTGGTGTAAAGCACCTACTTAGAACAAGCTTATCAAAGCACAGGGACCACGGTTCAATCCCCCAGCACCACATGCCAGCCAGCGCCGCCCCCTGGTGGGCTGAGCTGGCCACACACACACATAAATAAATAAATAAAATTAAAAAAAAAAACAAAAAACAAAACAAAAAAAAAAAACCAAAACAGTGCACAATTCTGGATACAGGGTCAGAGAGAGTCTCAAAGTAGGTGATGTCCAACAAAGACCTAGTAGGGTTTAAAAACAAAACTCACAGTGCCCAGGTGTGATGGCACAGGCCTGTAATTCCAGCACCTGGGAGGTGAAGAGGACCACAGTGGGCTGAGGTCACCCAGGGCTACATAGCAAGATCCTGGCTCAGAAAAAGGGGGAGGAGTTACCTGCAAGCTGTCTGCTCTTAGCCAGGGAACAGCAAGTGCAAAGGACCTGCGCTGGGGCTGTGCATGGCACTGTCCTGCATGAATTACTGTGTGCTGTGTGTCCCTGCTCAGTGCCTGTGCACTTGGGGAGCTTCAGTGTACACCAAGGATCTGTTGGAGTGAGGATGTGTGTGATGTATGAGTGTCTCACATTGTGAGTCTATAGTGGTGATCACATGGTCATGTCACAGCGTGTTCTAGTGTGTGTGTGTGTGCAAAGAAAAATGTAGGACAGTGTTGCAGAGGATGCTTTGTGTCAGTGTAGGGTAGGGCTGTATGCGGATGATGGGAATTCTGGAAATGGAATAGAGAGATGCTGTGACTTCGTGTGTGTGTGTGTGTGTGTGTAGGGATGCCCAGCTGTGTGAGTGGGTGCACTGGGGTAAGCTGTGGAACAGTTTTCTGGCCCCAGAGGGAGAGAGAAAGCCCAGGAAATCACAATTCCGCCCTACCCCCCGGGTCTCCAAGCAACAGCACCACTTGGAAGTTACCAGGAGACAGGTTGCCAGGGCGACGCAGGCCTGAGTGGCAGCTCAGGAGAAGTCTGGGTGAGGACGCACAGCTAGTGATCAGGGTTACTCACCTTTTTTCTCCTTTTCTGGCAGTTTCTCATCAACACTTCCTTCTTTCCTTTATTGATTTCATTAAAATGTGTTTTAGAAACTTCACTAAGCGCTGTTTGGAGCCCTGGGGAGACAAACAAGGCAAACAAGGTGCATATTGTGTTTGAATCTCAGACTCCCAGCCCCTTTTCCTCTCCTGCCCCCTTCTCGGCATTTGTTACCCTCCTTTTAGCCCAAGTGAGGCTCAAGAAGAACCCAGGCTGCCAGCGTGGTGGCCTTCGCTTGTAATTCCAGCCTCGGGGAAGTTGAGACAGAAGGATTGCCATAAGTTCAAGGCCAGCCTGGGCTAGTGAGATCCTGTCTTAAAAAACCAACTAGGGGCTGGAGAGATGGCTCAGTGGTCTAAAGCACCTACTTGGAACAAGCTTGGCAAAGCACAGGGAACGCGGTTCGATCCCCCAGCACCACATGCCAGCCAGCCGCGCCCCCTGGTGGGCTGAGCTGGCCACACACACACACACACACACACAAAATAAATGTTAAAAAAAATAAAAAAAGAAATACAAAAAACCCAACTAACTAAACAAACATATAAACACCACCCTCTCAGGCCAGTGAGGAAGGACTTTTTTTTTCTTCACACGCATACCCAGGCCTGTGGCCCTGAACACTTATGTGATATTCACATGTGTAGAGCTCATCCACCTCCCAAATGTCTTTCTGGGGGACACCAGTAGCACCACACCTAGCCACATGACCCTCGCAATACTCTTCTCAGCTATCATGAATCCCACCTTACATGAGCAAACTAAGGCTAGGGGACTTTACCAGTCAATGCTTTGGGCTTACTGCCTCCAACTCTCAACCTTTACATTTATTCGGTTAGCCGACTGACAAAAAAAAGTATTCATATTGCTTCTGCAAGCAAAACTCAAAAAGTTCTTCTCTCGCTCAACCATCCCCATTTTTGCACGCTCAGAATGGAGGTTCTTCACTTATTTACCAGGGGAGGGGCTGGTGAGCTCTAATTTTGATGGACAGCTCTAATGACCAATAAATAAGCTAAGCCAATGGTAACCAATGAGGTCTCGTGTTGGGCGGGACTAAGGCTGGGAACGCGCCACCGATTGGACAGAGATTTGCGGCGAATGGCGGAGACGCTGAGGCGAGTGCTAAACCGGGGCAGCGCGGCCGGGACTGGGGAGAACACGGCTGAGTCCGGACCACCTTTGTTGCTGCTCGGGGCTCCAGGATGTGGAAAAACAGCGCTGCTATTTGCGGCGGCCTTGGAAGCGGCGGGGGAGGGTCGAGGTCCTGTCCTCTTCCTGACTCGGAGGCCTCTCCAAAGCCTGCCCCACGGTACTGCAAGAACGCTCGAACCTTTGCGTCTCCAGGTATACTTGTGGGGTGGGACTAGAAATATATCAGCCCGTGGAGGGGCGGATGTGCCTTTGAGTGGCAGGACAGTAAGCCAATGGTGGGGGACAATGGGAGGGCAAGTTTGAGCAGAGTGAAGGAGTAGGTCGGAAATACGCGAGGGACTGGACCGTGCGGAATTTAGTTAAGATTGACTGAAGGACTACCCAATCACGGGGCGGCACTAGGGAGCGGCGTTGCGCAGAGGGCGGGCTCAAAGTAAGGGTTCGGTGGAGCCAAGTAGTCAAGGTGGGGCAGGTTTTCTGTGAAATAGGTTACCTTTAGGCTGGGGAGATAGCTCAGTAGGATGAGTTCAGCCCCCGGTTCCACCAAAAAAAAAGGTTGACTTGACCTACAGTACTCCACTGTGGCAAGAGGTGTGTGTGTGTGTGTGTGTGTGTGTGGGGAAAGGTGTGAGTAAAATATTTACTGATCTGAGCCGTTATTTAGCCTGGAGCCAGCAGTGTACCAAGAGTCAGAGCTTAGACCGGAAAATGGAACAAAGAAGCAGGACTCGAGCAGGGTCCGGTGGCCCGGGTTTGCAATCCCAGCACTCAGGGAGGCTGAGTCAAGGCCAGCCTGGGCAATTTAGTGACTCAGGAAGACCGTAACTAAAACACACACACACACACACACACACACACACACACAAGAAAGGCTAGGGATGGAACTCAGTGTAAAGACCTGGGTTCGAGCCCTAGTGGCAGCGGTGGGGTGGGGGGATGGGGGGAGAGGTAAACAGAAGCAGAGCTGCCACTGTGGGGACTCTGGCTCCTGTGTTGAATCTGGCCTTTTGTTTCTGAATATTCTAGAAGATTCACTTCCAGTACCCACCCTCAACGCAAGAGCTGCTCCGGTTCCTGTGCTCCGCCCATGAGGCCACGGGCCCAGTGCCCTCCCTTCTGCTGCTCGACGGCCTGGAAGAGTACCTGACAGGAGATCCAGGGTGCCAGGAGGCCGCCTACCTGGCCGCCTTGCTGCTGGATACAGCTGCCCACTTCGGCCACCGAGCTGGCCCCAACCGGCAGTGTGGGCTCATGGTGGCTCTGCAGACGCAGGAGGAAGCAGACGGCGGGGACACGCTGCAGCGGGCGCTGGTCCAGCGCTACTTCCCTGCTCAGTGCTGGCTACAGGCCTACGAAGCGGGCCTGGGATGGCGTGGCTTCCAGGTCTTCCTGGAGCCAGGTGAGTCCGGGCCCAGGGCAGAGTGGCGAGTGACTTTCAGACCTGATGGAGAGATGACCGTCACTCCAGGGCCTAACCAGACAAGGGAGCCCAGCCTCCACACGAGTTCAGGTTCTAGGGGTCAGCTCTAAACTTTGCAGGGTGACAACCTCTCTCTACCTCAATTTTCCCTGGGCTGGAATATTTCTCCCAGGGACAGCTGCAGAACCAAGACCTAAGGGACGCAGAGTGCTTTTCTCCTTAAAAGCTAGCATTATAGGAGTTGGGGATGTAGCTCTGTGGAAAGTGCTTGCCTAGAACGTGTAAGGCCTTGGGTTACATCCCCAGCACAACCAAAACTACACTATTATGTATATATTATGACCAGACAACTTTTTTAAAAAAAATTGTTTGAACAATATAAAGTTTCCTTACAGATAAAATCTTCTGAGGTTTCCTCCTTCCTTTTTGTCTACTTTGCATTGCTACCAAGATTCAGGCAGTTCCTACTTTATTGCCTTTTCCCTGTTACATATTGCTCCATGGATGTCTGTACCTCAGTTTATTCATGGATTGGTTTACTGCTATAAAGTCTGGTGCTGTGTCCTGCTGTATTGGGGACCCTGCAGTGGGCTCCGGTCTCCTGCCAGACCTTAGGGTGCACGGTGAAAACAAACAGCAAGAGACAGAATCACACTGCTACAAGGATCGGGGTGCCCAGCTGTTCAGGGAGCCAAAGGCCACAAGGCGGCCAGAACCTGGATAATTACTGGTCATGCTTGCATAATGAATCGTGGCTGCTGGCTACACTAGACAGGTGGCTCTGCAGGCCAGGCTTGTGACAGATGGGCACAAAGCATTCTTGGGAAAGGGACGGCCCGAGTAGCCAGATTGAGGGTGTGGCCCAGGAGTAACCTGCAGTCTAGGCAGTCCTGGGAAGGAGTTTTCCTCTGGAGTCATGCGGGCCCCAGCAGAGATGTTACCTGTTAGCCCCATGGTATCACAGCTCAGCAGCGTGAGCCCAGCCATAGCCGCTGGTGACGAGCGGTGCTCGTCCGACACCAGCCACTTGCTGTGGAAAAGATGCGGACACAGCCAGCCTCGCAAACCGGACTGAAAGGCAGCAGAGGAGGGCTGCCTCCATGCAGTGGCACTGCACGAAGCAAGCGCAGTCACGCTTGGGGCTGGGGAGGGCAACGTGGCATCCACGCTGCTGCACACTGCCTCTTAGGACGTGTACGTAGAAGTGGAACTGCTGTCATCTGAGGCGTGCGTGTGTGCAGCTTTCTGAGCTTAGGCCAGATTTTTGCAAAGTACTTCAACTAGAACCACCACCGGGTCACATGATAATACTTGGTGTCAACATGGTGCTTCCCTTTTTGAGACTGAGCCTCTCTATGCAGTTCAGGCTGGCCTTAAACTTACTAGGTAGCGCAGGCTGGCCTCAAATTTCAGTGATCCTCCTGCCTCAGCCCCTTGAGTGCTGGGATTATAGGTGTGCGTCATCTTGTCCCACTAACTTTCTTGAAACATGGCCTCCATGATAAAGCCCTGTGAGTTACTCTCCTCATTGGGGCAAACCAGGAGACGTTCATTAAATTGCTTTCTTTTCCAAGTATTCAAGTAAAGTACATTTCCCAGCATCTCTTAGGTCTAGTTGAGGTCACATGACTGGTTTGGGCCAATCAAATGTGCAGTAAAAAAAACCCAGGTGGTTGTCAGGCCAGATCCCACAAGTGGTCCATGGAGTCTCTTGCTGTGCTCTTCATTGAATAGCTACTAGGATGCTGATTAGCTCAGAACCTCAAGGTGACCCTAAAGGAGGAAAACGCCACACATCAGGAGAACCTGGGCCTCAGAGTCATCCCAGGATGTCTGCCCACTGCTTACATTGAGACGTGGGAGAGAAACCACTTCCTACGGGCTCAGGCAGCGAGATCTGGAAGGGCTACTTGGTGAGGCAGCTCACACAACTTGTGCTGACTGGTTTATTTGATTAGGATTAGTATTCAGATTTCTGGGTCCAGAATTTCAGACTGAACTCACAAGTTCTAACTGTTGTCCCTATGGCCTAGGAAAGATGGGGCTTTTGGGGTGTTTGCAAAAGTCATGATAGAAAAACTTACATACAAATCATTATACATATATATATATATATATATATATATATATATATATATATATATATATATATATATATATGCCATACATAGTTTAAAATATAGCAGGCTGTGGCTTCCTGAGCAGGATGGCTCTGTTGATGGCCTACGTCATCGTTGACCCTAGCCCTGAGTGCTGCCTCAGCCTCCCAGTCCCTGTCCATCAGTTTCAGGCTACAGTCCTAAGAGCAGGCCACATAGCTGGGGGTGAGAGGCTCAGGGCTGGGGACCAGGCTATTCTCATAGGGGTTGGAATAGGTATCATCGCATGAGCCCCCCTGAGCTTCCTGGGAGCCCCCTGAGCTGTAATCAGTTGAGATGCCAGAGTCGGACACCACGAGGTACAAGTACTTCAGGTGGGGTGGGGTGGGGGGCGGCTCAGGGTGCAGTGCCCGCGGGTGCAGGAGCTGGGAGCCGGCATCCAGGATGGTGTACTCGAAGCTGGTGGCCAGGGCCGCCTCCGGCCCAGGCTTCAAGGCCGAAGCAGATGAGCAGGAGGATGCTTCTGAGCACTCATCCACAGCCACAATGTCTGCGTGGCCACCAGGCCCTGGGAGCTCCTCACAGGGTGGGCTGTGGGGCAGCAGCCACTTGTCCAGCACCAGATACGAGTCCTGGGCGTGCTCTTTGCCCACCAGCTGCAGCATGGGCCCCTTGTCCTCTGCCCCCGGCTCGACTGCCTGGGTCAACCCCCAGCTGCGCTCCGAGAGGACTTCCAGGCGGGCAGGTGGGTCCTCCGGAAAGGGGGCGCTGGGGCTCCACCACGGGCAACCGTCATGCTGCGACAGCCAGAGCTGGGGGAAGCGCAACAGTCTGCTCATAGCCCTGGGCTTCAGCCACCAGGATCAAGGCAGTCCCAGCCTCCAGAGCACACCTAAGCCACCTACCTGGAAGTTACCCTTGTGGGTGGTGAAGAGGCCCTCAAACTCACTCTCAGGGCTCGGGATGCCAGGCCAGATCTTCTGCTTCAGACTCCTGTTGATAGAAACCAGTTCATAGACACAGCCTGCTGAACATTCACCAGCGCCTGGTGAGAGCACAAATATGATCATCCTGAAGGTAGAGAAGCCCATCATGTTTGGGGAGCAGGGGCTTTGCCTGAAGAACATCAAGGCCCTCCAGAGGGGTAACTGGAGTGGGAGTTTTTTTCTGGAGGTACCAGGAACTGAACTCAGGACCTCATGCTTGCCAGGCAGGCACTGCACCAGTAAGCTAAATCCCCAGCCCCTAGAACAGGGTTTTGAAGGATACATAGGAGTTCAAGATCCACTGATTCATTCCCAATCTAATACTGGCCTGGGTTTTGCCCAGGGGTCCACTAGTCAGTGCCCTCATCACTCCTTCCCATGGTTCCCAACGTATTCAGAATGAAATCTAGGGCTGAGGGTGTAGCTCACAGGTAACGCACACGCTTTAGCACGCTCAAGGTCATGTGTTTGAGCCCCAGCACAAAACAAGGAAACAAAATTCAAATCCCTCCCCAATCTCTGTCTCCTCGGTGTCATCATTCACCACTTTCTCCTTATACAGTGTTCCAGCCACATGGCTTTTTTTGTTTGTTTTGGTGGAACCTGGAATTGAACTCAGGCCCTTGTACTTGCCGGGGAAGCGCTTATTCCACTGAGCCATCTCCCCAGCCCCTCGCATATCTTTTCTTGGAGCTGCTTGATGTCCCAAATTCACTTCCACCCCAGGACCTTTGCACTTGCTGTTTCTGTTCCCTGATTTTCACACAGCTGCCTCCTTCCCACCTCCAGGCTTTTGCTCCAGGGTTGCCCTGACTATCCCCTCATTTCTCATGTGTTTGTTTCTACGACAGCGCTCATTGTGACGTATCATCTACTGGCCCTCGGTCTTCTTCTTTGTTTGGCTCGTCTGTCTTCCTGACTTCACTCTGAGATCCTCCAAGTCAGGGCCCCGAGGAGTCTAGCTTGTTCTCCACTCTCCTCCCTGTGCTTCAGCCATAGCCAGCATTCAGCATTCTCCAACCAAGTAAATGGACAGGGCCTTGAGAGATGGGCCTCCCTCGTGAACGAGGCAGGAAGGGTATTCCAGGCAGAAGAAACTGCGTGAGAAGGCCGGGGTGGGTCACCCTGCGGAAGCTTGGAATTACAAATATCTTGGAAAAGCTTAGATCATAGCAAACTGGGGTGGGTGTTCCTGGGTAAGCCTGGACCAGGCGCCCGCAGGGGAGCCTCACCGGCGGTGGGACAGCAGGGCGAGCGCGGCCAGCAGCATCAGGATGAGCACGAGGACGAGGGACAGCGTCAGGATGAGGGGGTCCAGGTCTGGGGGGGCGGGTAGGAGGTCAGCTGGGGGAGGTTTGGCAGGTGTCTCGCCCCAGCTCCTTCTACACCCCAACTAGGGCCTCACCGCTAGCCGTCAGCAGCGACACAGGCTCAGACCAGACGCTCCAGAAGCCACTGAAGCTGGGCTCAGCCATACGCGCGCGAACCACGAAGGTGTAAAGCGTGGCACCTCGCAGGTTGCTGAGTGTGCATTCTGTGCGGCCAGCCAGGATCTCCACCTGGGGGCGGGGTCCATGCAAAGGGCGGGACGGTCAGGGATCCAGCCAATCAGGGAGAGGAAGGACAGCACTCAGGGCCCAGTAAGAGTAGGGAGCGGGGCCCAAGAAAGCTCAAGGCCAATCAGAGCAAGAGCTTCATTAGCAGAGGGCGGGACCTGGGCTATATAAGGGTGGGTCTAGGTGTGGGCGGTAGTTTTGTCCTGGAATCTGCGACTTCGGGTAAAGGCAGGTGGGCGTTCACACCGACAAAGCCGACTTGCCAGGTGGTGTGGCGCTGTCTCTGGCCGGAAGGAAATGGGATGTGGGCTTTGGGGGAAGGACTGCAGGGGTGGTCCTTACTCTCTGTGCTCCTTCTGCACTGCTGCCAGTAGAGACGTCCACCTCATAGCGAATGTGGCTCGCCATGGGTGCCCCAGGCGGCGGGAGCCATTGAAGCGTCACTTGGCCGCCCTCCTTTCCCCGCCGAGCCTGCAGCCCCGTGGGGGCATCCAGGAGCACTGCAGATAGGGACAGGTCAGGCGCTTGGAGATCGGGATCCTTTCCCACACCACTTCTGCGAGCACTGGGGACTCACCCACTTCGTTGATGTGGATGACCCGGTGATAACGTGGGGAGCGGGAGGAGGCCTCCGTGACGCGCAGCTCCAGGGGTATAAAGCTCGATGTGTCGGCCGTGGGCAGCGAGCACCAGAAGCGCATGGTGCCCAGGGCGGTGGGCGCCTGGTGCAGGACACAGGACTTCCAAGGCTCACCCCTGGGCGCACAGCGACCGGAAAGGGAAGGGGGTGCATTGGGGGAGGGGTAGGAGGTGGGCTAAGGAATTTGTGCTACCCAGACTGTGGCACAAGGTCTCACTATGTAGTCCAGGTGGGCCTTGAGCTCACTATGTAGCCCAGGCTGGCCTCGAACTCCTTGGGCCTCCGCTTCGGCCTACTCAGTTCTGAGATTACAGGCGTGCACTGTCACGCCCTGCCTCGGGAGCATTTTGATTTCTACCACGAGGGGGCGACCCAGCTCCAATTAGTAACGAGGAAACTGCCTGAGGCTGCAGAGGAGTTGTCAGAGCCTTGATGTTTGGGTTCGCCTCCAGAAGTGATCAAAAAGTATTCCAACCACTAGGGGGCACGCCAGTCCTGACCCTAGGGGCTTCCTACTGCTGGAAGAGCCACTCAGATCCGGCAGGCTGCGAGCATCAAGGACCCCCACCCACCCCTTAGGACGCCAGCTTCCGTGCTACTCACTCTAGCTGGTAGGAGAAGCTATAGTTGCTGGAGGTGACCCTGGGGCTTGCCGCTTCCTCCCAGAAACACACCAAGTCCTCCAGACGTTCGGTGAAGCAGAGAAGCTCTTGGGGCCCGCGGGCCACCAGCAGAGCCGCTAGGGAGGTCGCCGTGGCAGGAGGGAGTCAGAGCGGCCGGCCCTGTGCTCTGCCTCTAGCCCCCTTCCCCTCCCTCCTTCCCTCTCTCTGCCTGTAGGGACCCGATAAGAAAAAAGCCCCACCACGCCCTCTTTCCCCCCCCCCCCGCAGCGCCGAGGGTATGCGGAGGGGGCACCCTTCAAATTAACAACTCAGGTTGCTTGCCTCAGTATTCCCCCGCGTTCCGCTCACGCCCGCCCCATGCGGGCTGAGATGCGCGCAGCCTTGGAGACCTGGGGCCCCGCTGCGCGCTCCGCCTCAGACCGCCCAGGACGCGCGCCCACGGGTGGGTGTGGACGAGGCCCATATCGGCCTCCGCAGGCTCCCGGCGGCCTGATAGCTCCAACCGTGTCCCCCGCCCCCTTCCTCCACCCGGCGGGAGCAGGGGCCGAGTGCCAGCCACAAACCGTGTTTACAGGCGCCCGGACACCAACCAACCAAACCCCTCAGGCACAGACTCTGGCTCTATCCTCTCCCCCACTGGACGGTCCTCTGGGTCTCCTCCCTCCGAGGACTCAGACTCCGGGGAGGCGACCCACTAGTACCCCGTCCCATTGCCAGGTAGCAAGTCCGAGACTCTCTGAAAAGATGCAGTAAGGATCTTAGGCGCCTTCTTCCTTCTCCCCGGAGCCCTTTGCGGGGACTCAGACACCGGTTTGTTGCACTAGTGCCGTGCTTAGGGGTTCAGATGCTCGGGCCGCCAGAACCCAGTGTGCCGGTTTAAAAGCCGGCATGAGGGCTGGGGAGACAGCTCAGTTGTATAAGCGCCTGACTTGCATGCTCAAGGTCCCGAGTTCGATCCCCAGTGCTGCAAACACACGCGCGCGCGCACACACACACACACACACACACGCAAGCCGGCGTAGACCTAGACTGGGCGTCCAAGCCCGAGCATTGCCCTCTAGGGGGGACTCAGTGTAGAGTGTGGGGATCTGCAACACACATCGATCCTTACCTTTGAGCTCAAATTTGGGGTCGGGGGAGTTAGGTGGGGGCGCCCAAGCTGCCCCAGCCAGCAGGAAACACAGGGGGCCAACTCGCGGCCAAAGGGGCGCCCCGAGGTGGTCCATCATTGCTGTGCCCGCACCGGGAGAACCCAGGGCTCTTGCGCCTCGGTCCCCGGTCCCTGGTAAAGGGCACAGCTGGGTCAGCAGCTGCCGCGGCCGGACACAGCTGACCAGGGCCTTCCCGGTCAGGAGCCTCCCGAGGCCCCTCCCTAGGGGGCGTGGCCTGAGGCAGCGTGACCGCGATAAGCGCCCCAGGGAGGGGGCAGGGGCGCTCCTGGCCCGGCGGCCCCCAGGTGGGTGGAAACTGAACCTCTCGCAGCTTCTGAAGCAACACTTTTTTTTTCTCCCCCCCCCCCTATTTGACCCTGGATGTGTCCTCCAGCTTTATCAGTCTTCTCATCTGTAAAATCGAGCCCGGTGCATAGCAAGCATTTCAAAAATGTAAGTTAGTGATAATATCCTGCTAATCAGCATCTCTCCCCAGTCAGGAAATAAAATAATAAACATGACTGTTTCCAAGTCACAGAAGATGTTAACTAAACCCAGCCGAGCTACGGGAAATGCACAATATGCAAGGGGTGATGGAAAGATAGAGAAAAAGCTTTCGTTAAGAAAGAAATGGGGGAAAAAAAGAAAAGAAAGAAATGGGAGAGAGCATGGACCTCGGGCTTTGAACTGGAACCCTCCTCGTGGTAAGCAGGAAAGAGCGTTGGTCAGCGGGCGCAGACGCTGCGGCAGGTGTAAAAGTGGGTGATGTTGAGAAAGGCGAGAAGAGTTTGTACAGAGGGGTGCGCGGGCCCACTGCTGAGAAGGGAGGCCCGCGCAGGACCCGCGAGCCCCGTGGTCTCTTTGGGTGGAAGACAGGTCAGGCTGCTGGATTCTCTTACAGAGATACTGACAAGCACTGCTGTTAAACAACAGCACAAACTGGATGGATGTAACCTACGGCAGACTTTCCCAAGAGTGTAAGATACTTAACCAGTACGTTCTTTTTTGTACTGGGGAGAGGATACACTCATGGAGCATTTGGAGAATCCCAAGAAGTACATGCCCAGAACAGAAATCATCTTTGCTGGCATCAAGAAGAAGAAGGAGGGAGGGCTGGGGCGATAGCTCAGTGGCATAAGCGCCTGCCTGGCAAGCATAATAAGGTCCTGAGTTCTATCCCCAATACCACAAAAAAAAAAAAAAAAAAAAAAAGAGAGAGAAAAAAGGAGAAAGGGCAGACTTAATAGCTTACTTGAAAAAGGCTACTAATTAATAATAGTCACTGTCTTATTTATTACAGAACAGAATTGTCTCATGGCTTTTTTATATGTACCATAATTTTTTTAAAGTTTTATTTATTTATTTGGTACAGGGTCTTGCTATGCAGTTCAGACTCGTGGTGATCCTCCTGTCTCAGCCTCCCCAGCGCTGGGATTACAGGCGTGCGACACCGTGCCTGGTTCTGGTGGCTGGCACGGTTTACCTGGGGTTCTAGGGCCAACACAGCATGCAGTACCCGGGATCAAATCTGGGTCTTGCCCTTGCCCGGCAGGCGCTTAGACCATCAAGCTACCTCCCCAGCCCTTATACCATAAATTTAATAGGTCTCATACATCAAAATTCAGATCATGAGTGGCTCACAGAATATTTTTGTTGGACAGTCCTGATGTAAATAAAATTGGCTTATAGCTAAATGTATATCTTTTTCTTGTTTTCAAGCTTTGATAGTAATTCCAGTTCAATAAATACTATCACTGTTTTCCCTTTCTAAATATATGGTTGGGGGGCTGGAGAGATGGCTCAGTGGTCTAAAGCACCTACTTGAATCAAGCTTGGTGAAGCACAGGGACGACGGTTCGATCCCCAGCACCACATGCCAGCCAGCCCCGCCCCCTGGTGGGCTGAGCTGGCCACACACACACACACAATAAATAAATGTAATAAATAAAAATAAATAAATATTAAAAAAATATATATATGGTTGGGCTTGATGAGTGATGTTGACTTTGTACAAAGATCAAGAATGTCATCTCCGGGCCGGGGAGATGGCTCAGTGGAATAAGCACTTCTCTGGCAAGTGCAAGGGCCTGAGTTCAATCCCCGGTTCAAAAAAAAAAAAAAAACAAACGAGAGTGTCATCTCAAAACTACTGAAGGTTAGAAGCCTGGAAGATGGCTCAATAGAATAAGCACCTACCTGGCAAGTGCAAGAGCCTGAGTTCAATCTCTGGTTAAAAAAACAAAAACAAAAACACTACTAAAGGTTGATTTTATATTTAGATTTATATCACTGGTTATGTGAATCTCTTTAAATACTGGGAGAATCCTTCATTGTCTCAAAACCAAGCAAGACTCCCCTGTTTCAATTTGTGTTTATTAGCCTGTTGAAGGGAGTGGTTGAAGACAAGAAAACTATGTCTATACTTTTGGTCTTGACTATGCCAATTTAATTAGAATTTCCTGTATCTAAAAAGTGCTGCCTTGGCCCAGTGAGATGGCTCAGGGGTCTAAAGCACCCTCTTAGGCTAGCTTAGGCAAAGTATAGGGACTGGGGTTCGATCCCTGGCACCACATGCTGTACCAGCCCTGCCTGGGCTGAGCTGGCCACACAAAAATTAAAAATAAATAAAAAATTAAAAATAAATAAAAATGCTGCCTTTTATTTACTGAAAAGCATTTTAGTGTGATGTATGTATAATACCAAATAAAGAATTTTTAACCATTCTAAAAAAGAAAGAGGGGCCAGGGAGATGGCTCAGTAGAATAAGCGCTTCCTTGGCAAGAGCAAGGGCCTGAGTTCAATCCCCAGTTCTGAAAAAAAAAAAAAAAAAAGGAAAGAAAGAAAGAAATGGATGGCCACGTGTGGTGTTGCATGCCAATAATCCCAGCACTTGGGGGGCTGAGGCAGGAAAAACAGCGAATTTGAGGCCAGCCTGAGCTACTCAGTGAGGGCAAGGCCAGCCTGAACTGCACAGTGAGATCCTGTCTTGAAAATAAAGAAATGCATTACAGGTTCTTCCTCTTCCTGTGAGCGGCCTGAGGTGACCTGTGAAAATCATTCCCTACTCTCTTGACTCAGAAAACCCCACAAAATCATGCAAATGAAGAGACTCAAATCTTTGTGTTCACTTTAAGAACACGGGCAGAACTGCCCAGGCCACCAAAGGTGTGTGGATCCAAAAGGCCACGAATATCTGAAGGATGTCACAGAAAGGAAGCCAAGTGTACCAGTCGGGCTCCAGCGTTGGAGCGGTGGGTGTGTCCTGGACCCCAAAGAATGCTGGTTTTCACTGCATGTGCTTAAAAATGCAGAGTAGAGAAGTGCCGAATTGAATGGTTTGGGTGAGATTCGTGGGTCACTGAACAGAGTCCCGTGCACAGTGCCCTCAGGACGCACCGAGGCACTTCCGGAGCTCACGGCCAGAACAGCCCATGCGTGAGCTGTCCCACCACGCTGAGGGATCCTCACTGAAAGGGAACATACTGTCCCTAAACCAGAGCAGGAAGTTGCACAGAAGAAAAAAACAACAACAACAACAACAACAACAAAAAGATACTCCAGAAGAAACTGAAGAAACAAAAACTTAAGAGTGGGAATAAATGAAGCATAACATAAATGCAAATAAAAGTTTTTTTTTTTTTAAATGAGATTACAAAAAAATAAGGGGATTACTGTGAAAGCCTCGTTGTCAGAAACAATCAGAGGCCTGTTTTCAAAGCCAGGCAGGTAGGAGAGTATTTTGAGGGAGGTTAACAGCAATGTGTATTTTACTGTACCAAATTTTTTTTTTCCAAATTTTGAAATTTAAGTATCCCCATGTTTTTGATCAAATCTTTATGGCAGTTTCTGTCAAACAAAAACATGAGGGCCTGGGAGATAACTCAGTGGCATAAACGTCTGCCTGAGTTTGATCCCTGGTACCAGAAACCCCCCCCCCAAAAAAAAAAAAACAAACATAAACACGTGTCCTTATCCACCTTATTCACCAGATCTGGCTCATTTGGCTTCTGGTTCTGTCCCAACATAAAAAAGATCACGAAGGGGAGACTTTTGTTTTGTTTTGTCTTGTCTTGTTGAGACAGGGTCTCACTGTGCGGTTCAGGCTGGCCTTGAGCTTACTTTGCAGCCCAGGCTGGTATGGGACTCTCAAGGATCCTCCTGCCTCAGCCTTCTGAGTGGTAGGTTTATGGTCATACACCACTATGCCCAGCCACCTTGCCTACATTTTTATTTCTTTATTTATTGCACTACCACGGATTGAACTCAGGACCTTTATTGCTAGGCACGTGCCTAAACCACTGAGCTGTATCTCTAGCCCTCTTGCCTACGTGTGTATGTGCGTAGTATTTTGTGCTTTGGAGATAGGGTTTCGCTATGCTGTCCAGCCTGGCCTTGAACTTGTGGTCTCAGGGGATCTTCGTGCCCTAGACTATTGAAGTGGCTGCTATAACAGGTACCTGCCAATGCAGGTTGCTGTTGTTCCTAAATTAAATTTATTGGTAATTTTAGGTAGACGTAATGATCACATCATAAAGAATTTGTACATGTGCATAATTTGATTTTTCTTCCTTTTCCTCTCCCTTCAAATCCTCTTCCCCTTATTTGCAAAACCTTTGTTTCCATTTTGCCTACTATTCTCTTTTTTTTTTTTTTTTTTGGCAGAACGGGGGATTGAACTCAGGCCCTTGCACTTGCCAGGCAAGCACTTATTCTACTGAGCCATTTCCCTGGCATATTCTCACTTTTCCCTGTTCCCTTTCTTCCTTTTCCCCTCACCATCTCTCATTCCCTTTCCCATTTCAACATTTCTTCCACCTATTATACATTTTGGTCCTTATTTACATTTTCAGTTCTCTCACCAGAGAAACAATGTATTTAAAAGGTTTTTTTTTTTATTTTTTATTTTTATTTTTTTTAATGTATTTAGCAAACGGTCTACAGGGCCTCACTGTGTAGATCCAACTCGTGGTAATCCTCCATTTTTCAGTCTCCCAAATGCTGGGCTAACAGGCGAGCGCATACATACCCAGTCTCAGTCACTGTCTCAGCGCGCCCTGGGAGCGGGCTGGCACTGCAAGCCTGGAATCAAACCCCAACTTCTGCCCTCGGCCTAAGCAGGCAATTTAATCTGCTGAGCTGGGGGCCGGAGAGATGGCTCAGTAGAATAAGCACTTCCCTGGCAAGCGCAAAGCCCTGAGTTCAATCCTCGGTTCCGCCAAAAGAAAAAAAAATTAAAAATCTATGAGCTATGTGGCTGGCCCTGTAGAAGGAAACTTAAATGACGGGCCTACCCGGGAATGGTGGTACACGACTATAATCCCAGCACTTGGGAGGCCGAGGCAGAAGATTGCCTCCAAGTGAAGGCCAGCCTGACCAAAATAGAGAGACCCTATCTCAAAAAACAACAAACAAGTTGTGGTTCCTAGGAGGGGGACATATGTGCACACACAACAAGTGGTTCTAAAGTTTGTAATATTGTCCATGAAAAAGTAACACAGTCTGCCCAGGCACTGTATGGTGGAGAAGAGCAGACGGCAGTGGAAGCGTTCTGCAGGGTCTTGGGCGGGAAAGCCCGTGGCAGCTACAGGACTACCCTGGGCAGGGGCAGCGGCTCCTGTTCCTGCCGGGCACTTACTGCGTGCTGGTTTAATTCTACACCTCGACTTCATCCACCTTCCCACACCCGGCTCGGGGGACCCGGGAAGCACCGAGCTACCTCCCGCCCTTGTTACTGTTTTACTTTGAGACAAGGTCTTGCTGCTGTTGCCCAGGCTGGGCTTAAGCTTGTGATCCTCCTCCTCCTCCTTTAGTTTCCTGAGTAGCTGGGACGATAGAGGTACATTGCTGTGATGGGGTTAGTCCACTTCACTTAGTTTTCACAACAGTCCTGTGAAGTGAATACTGGTACTAGCCTCTTTTTTTTGGGAACCAGGGATTGAACTCGGGCCCTTGCGCTTCCTATTTTGTTACTTTTATTGTACCAGGGATCAACTCGGGACATTCAAGTGCAAGGTCTCGATCTACCTAACGAGATTCTTTAGATCCTGTACTAAACACATAAAATAAAATAAAATTTCCTCCTAGGACTCTCCAGACCACCCCCTTCTGTGATGTGGGGTCCACTTGCCAGAGGAAAGCATAGGGCCTCCAATTTGCATATTAATTCCTCCAAACACAGGCATTGGTTCCAGGGTGGACAGCAGGCCTAAATTTTCCCAGGAGGAACCTGCGCTGTGATAATCCCAGTGTGAAATCTGCCACCCCAGGGTGAGCACGGCCCCCACCCCACCCGCACTATACATTCTTCCAAGCACAATGATTGGCTCAGGGAGGGACACGTGGTCCAGGCTCACCCAATGGGAGCCTTTGGGAGCTGGTGGGAAGGGCTCTGTATGAAGTGGAGGTGCTGAGATGCCAATCCAGCTGGTGAGGTGGGGCCATATAAATTAAAACATCATAAACTGTGTGGTGGCACAGGCCTGTTAATCCCAGCACTCTGGAGGCTGAAGCAGGAGGATCTCAGCCTTAAGACCACTCTGGACTACACAGCAGCTGTGTAGTCTCTGTCTCAAACGAAGTTCCCTCGGTTACTGTCACAGAGAACCGAATACTTGTGTCTGCAGGGAGGTAAGAGTTTATTTCTGTCAGCCACCGCTTCAAGTAGCAGCAAGCTCCCTGAACTCAGAGCCCCAGGCCTTCCAGCTTAGCTCAGAGGATGCGAACCACCCAGGCCAACATGATCCACTCCTCATCTTCATTGCAGCAGCCAAGGACAGAAAGGGCCAAGGGGAGGACAGACCAGGGCAGACCCTTCTCCCTTTGACATCTTACTGGCCAGCACTCGGGTTTGTAGCGCGGGATAGACTCTAAGTCTCAGGATCCTCCTGACCCAGCCTCCTGAGTGCTGGATCACAGGCCTGCACCATCACAGCAGGGTTCATCCCCTCTTAAGGCCCTCAGTTTGCTTTTCCCTCTTGTTGTCATGGCAGCCAGGGTGAGGACTAAGGTCTCTGAAAGAGATCCTGTGCCTGCCCAGGGTGTCAGAGTGATGGCTTCCAACGGGCTAAACTGGGGCAGGTGTGCCGCAGTGCCACAGACGATGGCCTCGTGTGGCGGTGTGGCGTTCCAGGAGAGCCTCTCCCCCCACTTCCCACACACACAGGGTGACACAAGGCACTGTGCTCTGGAGCTGAGGGAGGAGAGGGCTCCCTCAGGATTGGGAGGCAGAGCCTGTGGGCCGAGCCCCCTCCTTCCGCCGCAGCACGAAGTCCCCGGGGGCGGCTGGGCTCATGGCGTAGAACACGTTGGCGTTGTCGGGAATCAGGAGCTCTGGTCAGAAGCAGAGACCACGGCAGTTAGAGCCACACAATCGTCTGCTCCATGCAAGGCCTGGGAACCTTCTAGCGGGCAGCCCCGGCCTGCACAACCTCGGGTCCCTCCAGCCTCTGCATGCAGAGTCAGCGTCACTCCCTGGTCTCTGCAGACTGGGACAACTTCAAGCTCCAGCCTGTAATGCCTCGTGAGTCTTCCAGCTGAAGGCCTGGGGGAGCCCTGACCATTCCTATCATACCGAGTCCTGCAGGAGTCCTCTTGCCTCAGCCTCCCAGGAGCTGGGAACACAGGCCTGAGCAACCACACCCACATCTTCTCTCATTTGATTCTAGACAATCTCTGTACCCTATAAACCTCAGGAAGATGCCCTCTAATGCTCCCCATCCTCAAAGAGAGCTGGTGAGTACAACGAGGTGACCCCACATTCTCACGCCTTGGGATCTGCCCTCTCCTTCTTACCCACAAGTCTGTGCAGGAGTTACCTGGCAGCCCTTAAACCCAGCTGACACTGGGCTCCTTCTTTGAACTCACAGACTGTGCCTGCACCTCCCAATGCCTGTCCCAAGCCATCCTGCTCACCCTTGTCCCCAGGGAGGACCTGGAAGAGCTGATAGGCGTGGGCCCGGGGCCACGGCACATGGTGCTTCTCCAGGGCACGCTGGACCACACTGGGGGCTTTGTCCTGGCTGGTGAGCTGGAGGCAGGGTAGGTGGGAGGTGAGGGGCGTCGGGACCCAGGGTGGGGCTCCCCGGCTCCCAGCCCTCACCAGGATGCTCCGGTACAGGTTCCCGTGGTCGTTCTGGATGCTCACGCGGATGACACGGGCTTCCGAGCTCTGCTCTCCAGGGACGGGGGCGCAGGAGCTGCTCAGAGGCAACGTGGGAGCCCGGAGACCAGGCAGTTCCAGGCTCAGGGGCCGCTGTAGGTGGCGCAGGCGAGGGCTCAGTGCTCAGGCGTGGGGACCACAGGCCCCAGCCCACTGATTTTTTTGTTTTTTGTTTTTGCGGGGGTACTTGGGATGGAATACAGGACCACGGGCTTGCCAGGCAGGCACTCAGGCTGCTGAGTATATCCCCAGCAAATTTATGTGTTCCTGTGTTTTTTATTTAATCATTTTTATTGCTGGTTTTTTTTTTTTTTTTTTTTTTTTGTATTTTAGGTGAGGGTCTACAGGGTTTTCTGGATCTCACTACTAGATCAGACTCATAATGATCTGCCTGTTTACAGCAATCTAAGAGCTGAGATTACAGGCACCATACCCAGTCTCAATTGCCATCTCTTGTGACTCAGGGGTGGGGCTGATACACCAGGCCCAGGGATTGAACCCCTGACCCCTGTGCCTGCTTGCAGGTGCTTTAATTCACTGAGCTATTTGGCCCACCCCTGCAATTTTATTTTACCTAGTGGTGCTGCTGGGGATGGAAGCCAGGGCCTTTGTACTGAGCTCCATCCCAGCCTTTTTTTATTTTTTACTTCGAGAAAGGGTCTTGCTACGTCATGAGGTTGACTTGCAATCCTCCTGCCTCAGCCTCCCAGAGTGCTAGGGGTAGAGGCACATGTCACCAAGCCCACATGCCCACACTGGCCTATGCACAGTGCTGTGTTCACAGTCCTGTGACCATAAGGCCATGTGTGCCCCCACACCCAGTACCCACTGCATGCAGTTCAGGGGCACCCAGAGACACCCATTTATACCCCAGTTGTGAGATTACAGAGGCAGATGTATGCCTGGTCCATGTACACACACACACACACTGACATACATATATACAAACCCACATTTAGCAGGAGAAATCCTGCTCTTGCAGCCAGCATCAGGGGAAACTCCACCCACTGCACCCCTGCCCTGGGAAGACTTAGCTCCCTGCTTGCCCTGCAGTGAGCAGGTTTGGGTATCCTTGAAAGTGAGCAACATACAAGGTGGGTGCCGCAAGCCCGTCATCCCAGCACTCTGGGAGGCTGGGGCAGGAGGATCGCAAGTCAAGTCTGAGCTCAGCCTGGGCAACAAAGCAACTTAGACTGAGTTTCAAAATAAAAGTTAAAAACAAGGACTGAGGGCAGGCCAAATAGCTCAGCAGATTAAAGCACCTGCAAGCAAGCACAGGGGCCAGGAGTTTGATCCCTGGGTCTGCCTTGCTGGTCCTGCCCCCAGGGCGTGATATGATGGTGACTGAGACTGGGCGTGGTGGTGCGTGTCTATAATCCCAGCACTTGAGAGGCTGAAAAACAGGAGGATCACTACAAGTCCAATCTATGCAGTGAGACTCTGCAGACCCTGTCCTTAAAAAAAAAAAAAAAAAAAAAAAATATGGAGGACTGGGGTGGACTCAGTGTATGAAGGGGCTCTAGCTTCAGTCCGTAGCACCACAAATACATAAGTAACTAAATGAATAAAAAAGAACAAAGAACAACAGCACCCAGAAATGCCCTGTGGTCCCAGGTGAGAAGCCCTTACCCTGGTAGGTGGCAGCCTCCTCTCATACCTGAGCCTGCCATCCTGTATCTGCCCCCTCTCCCACACTATGCACAGGGCCTGGATACCTTGGTGCCTGAGCTCTGAGGACCTGGAGAACCTGGGGGACTTCCAGCAGGAGGGACCTTGGCTCTGGGACTGGATGGAGGGGACCCTGGAGACAGACTGGGGAGACACAGAGCCAAGGTGGGGTGGCTGCCCTGCTCTGGGCCCTGCCCTCCCTATGTCCTCCCTATATCCATGCCCCATCCAGGTGCTCACCTGGAGGTGGGTGATGAGGGGTCCCCGGGACTCCCGCCTGGGGGTGTGCTCTTCTCCCGAGACAGCTTCCTGAAGTTGGGGAGGCGGGGCTCAGATCTACCTAGGAGCAGCACTCCCGCACCCCCACAGACATCCCCCCCTAGACTCACGCACTGAGCCGCTTGGTAAGGCTGATGCGGCGCCGGATGCGCGGGGAGCTGGGGCAGGAGGCAGCTGGGGGCTCGATGACTCTGGAGACTCGGTAACTGGGGTGTCAGAGGGGGTGGGTCAGGAAGTGAGCAGAGGCGTGGGGGAGAACCAGGAGTCAGGTGCTGCAGGCCTGGAACCCACAGGGCATCTGGTGCCTTAGGACTAAGGGGGCCAGCAAGCTTGGCAACTCTCACCAGGAGCTTCCCAATGGGGCCAAAATTAAAGGTGGGATGTGGTGGCTCAGGCCTGTCATCCCAGCACTCAGGAGGCTGAGGCAGGAGGATCGCCATGAGTTCAAGACCAGTCCAGGCTACATGGTCAGTTCAAGGCCAGCTAAATTGCATAGTGAGAGCCTGTCTCAAACCAAACAAAGCTCAAGGCCAGGCATGGCGGCACACATACATAATCCCAGTACCTTGGAAAGGCCAAGGCAGTAGGATCATCTGAAGGCCAACTTGAGCTACACAGGGAAACCCTGTCTCAAAACAATAGCATTTCAGAGCTAGGTGATTAATGGACTCAGTGATGAAGGTCATGGACTCCACAGAATGAAAGCAAGTACAGGGGATAGCTGGGTTGGATGGTTGAACAGTGAAGTTACAGTCAATTATTCCAAAGTGGGGCTCAGAGATTCAATGGGACCAGGCATGGTGGAATATGCCCGTAAAGGAAGCTGAGGCAGGAGGACTGCAAATTTGAGCCCAGCCTGGGCAACTTAGTGAGCACCTGTCTCAAAATTTAAAAAAAGAGGGGCCGGGGAGATGGCTCAATGGAATAAGCACTTGCCTGGCAAGCGCAAGGGCCTGAGTTCAATCCCCAGTTCCACCAAAAAAAAAAAAATTAAAAAAAAGAGGCTTGGGAAGTAGTTCAATCCAAGGCCCTGGGTTCAATCCCAGCATCACAAAAACAGAAAATTGAGAGGCAGAGAGATTGATTTGGATAAGGGAGGCCTCAGGAGTGATCACTGGGCAGATCGGATGAGAAGCTGGGAAAAAGAACTGTTGGGAGAGTTAAACTGAATGTTACAGGTTGAAGTCAGAGTGTCAGGCATGGTAACCAGTAATCCAAGCCCAGGGGAGGCCGAGGCAGGAGGAGCATCAGGAATTGCCAGCCTGGACCATGTCAGCCAGGTCAGGTTAGGGCGCAGGTGGAAGAGGGCCCCCTGGAGGAGCTGGTGCATTGTCAGCCGTCTCAGGTGGGCTGGGGCAGGGTGCGGGCTGGGGCAGGGCGTCACCTCTGCTCCTCACTGAGCTGGCGCTGGGCACGCAGGGCAGCCAGGACGGGTGGATGGGGGCGCAGGCTGTAGCTCCGACAGCGCCGCTGAAGCTGCTGGATTCGGGCCAGGATCTCCCACTCCTGTGGGGGTAGCCTCTGAGACCCTGCCTCATCCCATCCCCACCCCTGGGGACCCCCATGCCCACCCCACTGCCCACTGACCTTTCTCCGTTTCTCAAAGTTGATGAGATCACCCTGGGGGCAAAGCTTGTCTGAACTGGAGCCCCCCCATCAAGGGTCAAGGTCAAGAGCTGGTTTGTGAGGAGTGGGTTGTGCTGAGGGACTGGGGGTGGCAGGGGGAGGCAGAAGCAAGGTGGAGGTCATCTGGGGTCAGGGGTTGGGGGCACACCTCCAATACATCCGGCAGGGCTGTGTCCAGCATAACCAGGTCCGTGAGGAAGGTGCCGAGGTAGGGGACAGGGCCTGAGGGCAGTTTCTGCAGCCCCCAGAGCTCTGGTCACTTCTGGCAATAACTGACCCTGTCACCCAACATGCCCCACCCCAGATAACTTGGGCTTCCATCCCAACCCCACCACTCACTGAGGAGAGGCATCCTGGGCTGCTGTCCTCCTCTTGGGGTCCCTCTGTGGCCTCCTCCTGGGAGGAAGAGAAGGACTAAGTAGTCCTGCAGTGTCCTCTGACCTTTCCCAGTGGTGCCTGAGACCCACCCACATAACCCCATCTCACTTCCAATAATCACAAGCTGTACTAGTCCTGGAGGTCCACACCTGTTATCCTGGCATTCTGGGAGGCTGAGGCAGGAGACCCACAAGTTCAAGTCTAGTTTAAGTAACTACTTAGTGAGACCTTGTCTCAAAATTAAAAAAAAAAAAAAAAAAATTAAAAGGGCTGAGGATATACCTCAGTGTGAAGGTCCTGGGTTTGATCTCTAGTATAAAAGGAAGAAAGAAGAAAGAAAATGCAGACAGGTGGCATGGAAAGGAGGGCCTGTGAGGCGCAGGGACACTCGGGCCAAGACCTGCATGAGGTGACAGGGAGCAAAAGTCATTCACCTATGCAGAGGAACACGGAATATTCTGAGTGGGGAACAGGCTCCTCTCACACCCCCTCTCTTCTAGGGTCACTGCAGAAACTGTACGTGATTGCCATTTGAAGTCAACTCTTGCCACAATAAGTCAGATGGGTTGGGCCACATTCTAAAATCTTCAGGGGCCAGGGAGATAGCTCAATGCCTGCTTGGGCAGTGCCATCCCCAGCTGCTCCAGCCCCACCCCCAGGGCAGGTTGAACCAGCCACAAAAAAACAAAAATAAAAACAAAACAAAAAGGGCTGGAGAGATGGCTGAGTGGTCTAAAGCACCTACTTAGAACTAGCTTGGAAAAGCATCAGGGACCGCGGTTCAATCCCCCAGCACCACATGCCAGCCAGCCCGCCCCCTGGTGGGCTGAGCTGGCCTCTCTCTCTCTCTCTCTCTCTCTCTCTCTCTCTCTCTCTCTCTCTCTCTCTCTCTCTCTCTCTCTCAAATAAATAAATAAATAAATAAATAAAATTTAAAAAATAAATAAATAAATAAAAACAAAACAAAAAAATCAGGTGTGGTGGCACACTCCATAATCCCAGCACTCGGGAGGCTGAGGCAGGAGGATCACAGCAAGTTCAAGACCAGCCTCGGGGCTGGCGCTGGGGAGGCTGAAACAGGAGAATCTCTACTGTGTGAGCTACGTGGTGAAACCCTGTACCAAATACATTATTAAAAATAAAATAAAATAAAAAAATAAAGACCAGCCTAGAATACAAAGTGAGCTCAAGGCCAGCCTGAAAAAAAAATTAAATTAAAAACGTATATTTCCAGGACAATTTTTTTTTTTTTTTTTTTTTTTTTTTTTTTGCGGAACCAGGGATTGAACTCTGGCCCTTGCACTTGCCAGGCAAGTGCTTATTCTACTGATCCATCTCCCCAGTCCTCCCAGGACAAAATTTTAAAAAAATTCCCACTTGGCTCTAACTTTGGCCTGAAGTAACCTTTTCCTTGTGACTCCTTGTGTTTTGTTGAATGAATAAATAAGGCTATTGCATTATAATGGAAACAAGAGAAACAATACAATTGTTGGAGACAGGCATAGTGGCCCGGGTGGTATCCCCAGCACTCCGGGAAGGTGAGGAGGGAGGACTGGAGGCTCTGAGCCCAGCCTGGGCAAATGAATGCTCCCCGGTGCCTGCCTCGGTACCTGGGACAGAATCTCTCGGCTACTGAGGTGGTTGTTCTCATCGGAGAAAATCTGCGAAAGCTTCCTGAAAGTGGAAAGTGGTTCTCTGCGGGTAGGAGAGAGGGGAGTCAGGGGCTCGGTGGTGGGCTGTGTCAGAGCGGAGATGGGGCCGCCCCCACTGTGCCCCGCCCAGCTCACCTGCTCACGGCCCCCCAGCTGCGCTTCAGCCTGTAGATGGGGTTCGACTGCAGGGCAGACAGGACGGCGCGCAGGGAAGAGAAGTTTCGCAGTTCGCGGCAGCGCTGGGGTGAGGTGGAATTGCTCATCATGTCTCATATCTTAACCCCGGCCACCTTAGATTCTGCGCCTTTTGTTCCTTGAGACAGGGTCTCGCTATATAGTCCAGGCTGCCCTTAAACTCAGCAGTCCTTCTGCCTCAGCCTTCCCAGGCCGGAGATGATAGCGTTTCTATCCTGTGACTTCAGACCTTAGCCCGACCTTCAGCCACGCCCACTTCCTGGGCTCTCCCCCACTGCTCTCTGGCTCCTCCCACCGAGGACTCTCATTGGTGGAACGCTGCTTCTGCCACGCCCCTACCCGCCCCACCCCACTGTGCCTACCTGCGCGATCCTGATCCACTTCTCGATGCGCTGCGCCCTTTGCGAGGCTGCCAGGCCGGGTGCCCCTAGCACCGAGCCAAGCACGCAGCCGGTCACTGCGTTGAACTGGGCCACGGTGGCGCGCACGGTGGGGGCGACGCCCGAGGCCCCTGGACGGTCCCGCTGCGACCACACGGAGCCCAGACACTCGCAGGACCGCACCTTCGAGAAGAGCTTCTGGGGATAGGGTGGGGGGTGGACTCAGTGTAACCTGAACCCCCACCCACGCCACCCCAACCTGCCACTGTGGGGGTCCCCACCGCATCCATGAGGGTCAGCTGCTCCGCCACTTCGTCCACGCTAAAGTCCAGGAGCTCTGGACCTTCCCGCTGGGGACCTTCCTCTTCCTCTGGGAAACCTTTAGGGGAATCCGGTCGGGGGGGCTGGGCAGCCCTGGGAGGTCCTGAGGGTTGGACAGAGTTAAAAATCTTACACTGGAGCCCAGTATTGTGTGGCTCATGCCTGTAATCTTTGCAGTCTGGGCGGCTGTGGCAGCAGGATCGAAAGTTGTGCCCAAACTTAGCTATTTGACAAGACTATCTCAGAAATAAATACATAATAAATAAATAAAGGAAGGAAGCGCTGCAGTTGTAGCTCAGTGCAAAGGTCTTGAGTTCAATTTTCACTGCTACAAAAGTAAAATATGAAGCTGGGTGTGACAATGCACACCTGTAATTCTAAATTCTAGCACACTCAGGAGAGTAAGGCAAGAGTATCGCCGTGAGTTCTAAACCAGCCTGGGCTACATAGTGACTTCAAGGCCAGTCTGAACTACATAGCGAGACAGAAGACAGGCCGACCAAGTGTTCAATAAACAGGAGTGGTTTTCCATAGTGGGTTTTACTGGTGGCGCCGCCTAGAGGTTTTGAAAACTTGGCTCTCGCCTTAAGGGTAGGGAGGACTGTGTGCACGCTCAAGGTGGGGCCACACAGCCTCCAAATGTCCCTTGACCATTGTACCATGGAAGAACCTATCTACTCTGCTCTGCTCCTCGCATCTATTTTGCTCATAAATTTTTCTAGCCCCCTGAATGGGAGGACCATGGAAGTCTGGACTTGGGTTTGCTTGGAAATTGCAAAGGTCATTCACTCTGGCAAGCGCTGTCGCCAACATCTCTGTTTCTGTCGTTGCACGGCCAGTGTACTGTCTGCATCAGCTGGCATGCGTGGCTGTCACCTCGCCTTGAAGTCACTGGTACCTCCCCTGCAGCCCTCCTACAAGTAGAGGCCCACTCTCATCAGGAGCCCAAGTGAGACAGGTCAGAACATCTGAGTCCCCAAAGACACGGGTTAGATGACTGCTGGATATGGGGGCCGGCCAAATGGCTCAGTGGATTAAAGCGGGCCTGCTGTGTCGGCCCCGTCCCCAGGGCGCACTGAGAGGACAATTGAGACTGTAATCCCAGCTCTTGGGAGGCTGTAAACAAGATCACTCCAAGTCCAATCTAGCAGTGAGACCCTGAACACCTTGTAGACCCTTCCCTAAAAAATACAAATAAATAAATAAATAAATAAATTTTTTCTTCTTCCCACAGTTCTTTTAAAATTACCTTTGTTAGACTGTTTAATTACCTCTCATTCCAATTAGGACAGATGGCCCTTATAAAATATTAGCTTGTTGCCAGGTTCAGTGGCAAGTATCTGAAATCCTAGCTATGTGGGAGGCTGAGACAGGAAGATCACAGTCCCAAGCAAGCCTGAACAACCTAATGGCTCCTTGTCTCAGGACAAAAAATAAAACAAGGTACGGCAGTGTGCATCCTCAATCCTGCAATTTCAGAGGCTGAAGCAGGAGGATCACACGTTAGATGCCAGCCTGGGTTACACCATGTCCCCCCAAGTCAAGTACATATGTAAGTTCATCAGGTGTGGTGGCAAGTGTCTGTCATCCCAGCACATGGGATCGCCATGAGTTGGAGGTCAGCCTGGGATATGTGGTGAATTCAAGGACAGCCTGAGGTACACAGTGAGACCCTGTCTCAATTCATAGGTACTACAGGGTAAAGCACTCCTGAGCAGCATCTTTTTTTTTTTTTTTTTTTTTTTTGCGGAACTGGGGATTGAACTCAGGCCCTTGCGCTTGCCAGGGAAGCACTTATTCCACTGAGCCTTCTCCCCAAGTGGAATCTTGTACCATCAAAACATTTAGTATTTTGGACCGGAGAAATAGCTCCCCCGTGACTAAAGTACCTGCCTAGCATACAATCAGGGAGGAATAAGCTCTATGACACCAGAAGGAGCTGGCAAGTTGAGGGGAGAACACTGTTACGGATTGAGAAAAAGTAAGAAATTCCTTGAGTGAAATTTCTTTGTATTCTGATTTGAAGAAACAACCGTAGAAGAGACATGTTAGGGACAACAAGGAGCTGTAAAAATGATAGTTCTCTGTTCTTTCATTTTCTTTCTCTTTTTTTTTTTTTTTTTTGAGGCAGGGTTTTGCTAATAGTTCAGGCTGACATTAAACTCACTCTATAGCCTATGCCAGCCTCAAACTCATGGTGATCCTCCTGCCTCAGCCTCCTGAATGCTGGGATGTAGGAGCGTGCCATGACACCTGGCAGACTGGGTATTTTCTCTGCATCTTTTTTTTTTTTTCTTCTTCACACAGGATCTTTTTTTTTTTCCCGGAACCGGGCATTGAACTCAGGCATTTGCACTTGTCAGGGAGGTGCTTATTCCACTGAACCATCTCCCCAGCCCTGTATTTTTTATATTAAGTATTGCTGGTTTTTTCTGGCAATGTTTTAGAACTAAAAATTATACTTAAGAGTCCTTGCCAAACCGGGGAGATGGCTCAGCGGAATAAGCGCTGCCTTGGCAAGCACAAGGGCCTCAGTTCAATCCCGGGTTCCGCCAAAAAAACCCCCAAAAAAGTCCTTGCCCAAAAAAAAAAAAAAAAAAAGTCCTTGCCAAACCAAGCGCTATGACACATGCCTACAGCCATTCTGAAGGCTGAGGAAGGAGGATGACGTGTACTCACGAGTTCGAGGCCACACAGTGAGGCCTGTTTGCCAAAAAAAAGAAAAGAAAGAAAAAAAATGCTTGTCAGTTAGAGGTACCCATTAAGTGTGACATAAATCTGAGATATGCTCTAAAATCACTCTGAATTTTTGTTTGTTTGTTTTGTTGCTGCTGCTGCTGTGGTGTTTTTGAGACAGGGTCCTATTCTGCAGCCTAGGCCGGCCTAGCCCTCACAGCGATCGTCCTGCCTCAGCCTCCCCACTGCCTCACTAAAGTAAATGCCATTTTCATGAAACAGTCCCACTGGCTGGAAGCGACCACGCTGGGCCACACAGTCCTAACAACAACTCGGAATCACGTGATAAAACCTGACGCCAAGGAACAAGAAATCCCTCATAACCAGGAGGGGACAACAGGTAGAGACTAAAACTATAGAAACATAGACTTGTCCCCAGGACCACAGAAGCCAGAAGCAGCTACTTTGCACAGCAGGGAGGAATGCGACCACTTTAATCTGAGGATTAAAGGATGAGGATTAGGGATCTAGGTGCTTTGTGACACTGATCAGCTCAAACACAGATGGGGAAAGCCGATCCCTTTAAGAAGATACCATTATCCAGGCAGCTAATCCCTGCTGCTCCTGCTGGGGGGGGGGGGAGTGGGATCCTGCTCTCCCGAGACAGGAATCAAACAGGAAGGGGTGTCACAGTGAGGTGTGACAAACTGTGGCAGGCAGGGAGGGCACAAGATGAGAGATTTGGTTGGGAAGAAGTCACAGAAATCTGCTCTGCAGAATTGCCATTTAACTTCAGACTGGAGTGAGATCCATAGCCACTTGTCCACACCCCAGAAGTACTTTATGGTGGAAGTCACAGACCTTTTTTATAGAGGGCTACTGAGCCACGCATCATCGTGGTGCACACCTGCAATCCCAGCTCTGAGCCCAGGCTGGCCTCAGACTTGGGGCGATCCTCCTGCCTCAGTCTCCTAAGTGCTAAGATCGAAGCTGTGTGCTACTATGCTTGGCTGATTATTTGCTGTCCTTTTTTTTTTTTTTTTTGGCGGAACCAGGGATTGAACTCAAGTCCTTGTGCTTGCCAGGGAAGGGCTTATTATTCCACTGAGCCATCTCCCCAGCCCCTGCTCAGTCTTTTTGAGATAGGGTCTTGCTATGCAGCTCAGGCTGGCCTTGTGCTCACTTTGTAGCCCAGGCTTGTCTTGATCTCAAAACAATTCTCCTGCCTCAGCCTCCCAAGTGCTGGGATTACAGGAATGCAGCACCATGCCCAGCCTGATTACTTCTTTATTTTTGTCTATTTATTTATTTATTTATTTAGATACAGTTTCACTAAGCAGTTCAGATTCCTAGTGATTCTCCTGTCTCAGCCTCCCCAGCGCCAGGATTACAGGTGTGCACCACCATGCCAGCTAGGTTTTAGGCCGGCATGGAATGCAGTATCAGGCATCGAACTTGGGACCTTGTGCTTGCCAGGCAGGTGCTTAGACTGCCAAGCTATCTCCCCAGCCCCTTCTTTCCTTTTCTTCCTTATCTTTCTTTTTATTACTTATTTTCTTAACCCAAAGTTTTTTCAAGGGAATTACGAGCCTGGTTCTGGTCTTATATCATGAGAGCTAGTAGCCAGACATTCATTGAATGAAGAGGCCCACGTAGTAAGTACTGGTACCTGCGTTTATGCATAGGGTCTACAGGGTGTTCAGGGTCTCACTGCGTAGATCAGACTTATAGTGATCCTCCTGTTTCCAGCCTCCCAGGTGCTGGGATTACAGGCGCACACCACCACGCCCAATCTCAAATGCCATTTTAGCACACCCTGGGGACGGGCCTGGCACAGCACACAGGGGATTGAACTCCAGCCACTGCGCTCTGCCTAAGCAGGCGCTTCAGTCCACTGAGCTATCTGGCTGGCCCATCTCTCCCCACCCCATTGTTGTTTTGGCTAAGGAAACTGAGGCTCACAGAGGTGAAGTGACTTATTCATGATCACAGTCAGCTGAAGGTCAAACTGGGATGTGAACTCAGATCATTGGCAGAGATTGGATATCTTTTCACAGAAGCAGAGCACTAGAAAAATGCTGATAGTTTGACAAAGAGCTATGATCTCTATTTCACAGGTGGAGAAATTGAGGCTCACACAAAATTTAAAATCTTGCTCAAACCCCGGGAGGTAGTGCACACCCGTAATCCCAGCACTCTGGGAGGTTGAGGCAGGAGGACTGCAAGTTGGAGGGATCATGCAGAAAAGACCTCCCTGGATGCACCTAGAGCCCAACATGCCTCACCTGTCCACAACACAGGCTGCTCCTCTTTCTGCTCTTGATCGGCCTCCTCCAAAAAATCTTCCAAGAGCTTCTTGGCTTCCTGGGCCTCGGCACCCCCAGGGGCTGCCCAGCTCAGAAAGACTCGGATGCGACCCAGGTCCGAGTGGGTAGGGGGGTCTCGGAAATCCTGAGGGTGATCTCGGAGCCAGGAGCCCAGCACAGACACCACGGCCCTGGCCAGAAAGGTGCCCTCAGGTGGAGGCCCGAGATCTGGACCTTTCCACCTTCGGCTTCCAGACCCACCGCCCCTCCTGCAGCAGGCCTGCACAAGAGCATTGATTAACTTACGCTGTCTCACTCCCCACCCCTGCAGTGGCCCAGGCAGCTGGGGGACCAACCTCAGATTCTTGTTGAGGCTCAGGTCGTGTCCCTCTGTCTTCTCACTCTCTGTCCTAGGAAGAGGTCCTCGTCAGCCCAGGTAGGTTAGCGGGTGGCTGGGGCAGGGAGGCAGGTGCTGGTTCTAAAGCCCAGGTGGGGCTGTGGGGGGCGCGGGTGCCTGTGACTACTGACCTCTGAGGTAGTGGCGGCAGCGGCGGTGGCGGCGGCGGCAGGAGGAAGCGCAGGACACAGGCGGTAGGCACGAAGGCGTGGTGGGTGGCCAGGAAGGCGGGCACGAAGCCAGGGTCCTGCTCGCGGTCTCCGGACACCAGCTCGCGCATCAGCCGCTCCAGCCGCGCTGCCCTGAGCGACCGCACTTTGCTGGTGCGGTAGTGAAGAAAGGTATCGGCCACGGGGAGCAGGGGCTGCGGGGGTGGGGGAGGAGGTAGTGAGCAACCAGAGGGGTCTCCGCACCCCGTTTCCAGTCAGGCCCAACGCTAGCCTCACTCTTCCACCCAAGCTTGCCGGTTTCTTCTGACTCCTTGGGTTTGTTATCTGTCCGGTCCAAAAATCGATCCCCATGGGCTCCTCTGGAATTTATTATTTGGGAAGGGGGGATTGGAGCTTTGCACTGAGCCTGCATCCCTAGCCCTTTTTCTTTCCTTTGAGGTAGGATCTCATAAAATTGTTAAATTGAGCAGCCTTCCTGGAATTGGCAATCCTCCTGCCTCAGCCTCCAAGACTGCTAGGAGGACAGGCGTGCACCACCGCTCTAGACACCCACTGGCTCGCTCACGCAGCCGTCCGCAGGGCTCGCTCAGACCTCCTCCGGCTTGCCCGGCCTGGCCCGGGCCGCACCTACCCTCCCCCGGGCCGGAAGTAGGCTCCGGCCCACTAACCGTGGCCGCCCACACGCCACCCTCTTTCTGTCCTCGCCTGGCTGGCCCCAGGCCCGCTCGGGAGCGCGCATCACGTCGCCCAATCCAATTTCCCACCTTCCCTCTGTGCCCCGCCCCCGCCCTCCTGGGCGCGCTCAACCCCGCCCCACTCACCTGGCTTGCGCAGGCCCCGCCCCCGCCCCTAGGTCGCGCGCAGGCCCCGCCCCCGCTCACCTGGCCACGTGCAGGCCCCGCCCCCGGGCTCGAGCGCTGGCTACGCTGCCGCCGCAGGGTCACGCTGAACACCGCTCCGTCCTCGCTCTCCTCGCCCCAGTCCTGCAGCGGCGCCTGGGCGCAGGGAAGGCTTAGGGTGCTGGGGCTAAGCCTTCGTGCTCTGTACCCAAGTCCCGTTAGGGACGTCCTAGCGTCCAGTCTCACAGAATCTATTTTCTTTTTTGAGGCAGGGTCTAACTCGCAGAGAATCCTGTCTCAGCCTCCCGAGTGCTGGGGTGCCAGGCGGGGACCGCCACGCCCTGCCAGAATCTGTTTCTGATCCCCCCTTCAAATGCACCCAGAGACCTCAGCTCCATTCCTCCATCCCCAAAGAGAACCAACGCTTCTCTCAGTCAGGACAAGGTCCCAAGAGGAGACACGAGAGCCCTCTCAGCTCTTGAAAGGATGGGCGGCATTTGGAGACATCCTGGGGTCCAGTTTCACCCGTTTCTGGTCTCACCTTCAGACATACCCCCTTCTGCACCCTGAAGAGAACCAGCCACCTCCCTGGGTCAAGGCCAAGGGTCTGCCCTTGAGGCCCTGGGGACAGATCCGATTTATGGGGAGTCTGCACCCAGTTTCTAGACCCGCATGTCACCAGGGACACGGGTCCCAGGATCCTCGGCCTCCTTACCAGGGCGAGTTCCTTGCCCACCGTCCGCTCCATGGCCCACGCCTGTCCCCACCGTGGTGGCGCCAGAGTGAGGCGGAAGGGACAGCGGGTGGCGGGCAGCGGGCAGCTTCGGGGAGGGGCGGGGGCAGGGGCGGGGACGGGGCGGGGCAGACCCTGGGCTCTGGCCTGGCCCGATGTGCCCAGGGAGGGGCGCCTCTCTCCCCAGGGGTGGGGGAGCTGAGCCGTGGGCCGCTTCGCCCCGAGGCAGCGTCGTTTGTCCTCAGGTGGGAAGGGCTGTTCAGCCCCAGAAGTCCTGCAGGGGGCAGGACAAGGGTGTCTCTACGGTGTCACCAGAGGACCAGAGCTACGAGGCCCAGGCTGCAGGGGCCCTGAGCACCCTGGGTATTGCAGGGCACCCCCTTTCCTTCAGGTGGGGTAGGGTCAGAGAGCGAAGAACACCCCGAGGCCGGTGGGCGACCTTTATTGCGCGATTCTGAGGCCAGCGCTGACCCAACCTGAAAGATTTACTGTGGGAACGTCTGGCCCGGCCCCTTTTCTCCTCAGGGCCGGCTGGCCTGCTCTGCTTCCCATTCAGACCTTGTCCAGCCCTTCCGGGGGCCCCATGCAGCCCTGGCTGGGCCCAGAAGATCAGTGGGCTCGGCCGAGCGGGCACCACGGGCCTAGGACCTCCGCAAGCGACCTCGCTTCTTGTTGCGCGTTTCGATGAGTTTCTGGGAACGAATCTTGAACGAGGCCCGGCTGACCACTTCGTCGTCCTCTTCACTCTCCTCTTCGTCTGTAGGAGCCCGACTGATTGGGCTGTTGTTCAGCGCCCTCCCCAGCTTTCAACCACTCCACCCACCTCCGCCTTGGCCCTGTGCCTGGCGTCTGAACACTTCCCACCCTTCCCAAGCCCAGCACTGACCGAAGAACTTGTCCTTGGAGCTGGCCAGGGGAAGGGAGATGCGGGTGTTATACCGGGGAAGCTTTCCTTCTAAGGTGACCAGAAACTAAGAAGAGAGAGGATGGGGAGAGAGGTGTGAGCAAGGGAGGAGCTCACTCCCTGCATGCCCTGATTCCAGGCAGAGATCACCATCCACTAGCATTCAGTTTTTGGTTTTTGAGACAGGGGCTTGCATTGTAGCCCAGGCTGGCTTTGAACTCATGGCAATCCTTCTGCCTCAGCCTCCCCAGTGCTGAGATTACAGGCATGTGCCACCACACCCAGTGTACAATGTAGTATTTCTCCAGCCCAGCGTCACTTTCCTTTTCAGGAGACTGAGGTCAGCTCTGCTAGCTTCTCTGCCTGGAGCGTCAGGTTCACCCTCAAATCTCTCCCGTGGACCCTGAGGCCCCTTCCCAGCTCGGCTGGCCACAGCCTGGTCCCCAAGGGTTACCCCCTTCCCCTCCGGCCTGCGTGGACTGCTGGGCACCTCGCGGCTGGCGATGTGGCGAAGCATCTCCTGCACGTCGTGGCTCTGGAGCTGAGCCTGCAGTTTCAGCAGCTTCTCCTCCACGAGGCTCAGCAGGTTCGGCAAATAGTTACTTGCAGCAGGGTCTAATGCCTTCCCAGAGAAGCGGCTATCCTCCTGCGGCCGTGGGAGGAGCCGTGTCAGGGAGGGGCGGGGCTTCGGACGAGGTGGGGGTGGGGTCACTTCTGAAAAAGCCCTCTGGAGCTCTGCCTGTGGCGGGGCCTCTGAACACTAGATACAGACTAAGGGTGCGGACAATGGTACTACCTTGAGGGTGGCGGAAGAGTTGTTTGTTTGTTTTTGTATTGGGGACTGAACCCATTTGAACCCAGAGCCTTTGTCCTGAGTTACATCATCAGTTCCCTCTTTTGGGACAGGGTCTCCCTAAATCTCTGAGTTGCCAAAGCTGGACTCGAATTTGAGACCCTATGCCTCAGCCTCCCAGAGCGCTGAGTCGATAGGTGTGCACTACCACACCAGGCAAAAAATGAGTCTCTTGAGGACAGGACAGGGCTTCTTCCACTTCCAGCAGCCTGCCAAAGGATTGGAATAGAATCCCCAAGGTTTCTGGTGGGAGCACACTGGGCCTTTCCTAATGGGGCCTGGGGCAGGGCACAGTCTCTGGCAGTGAAAGGGTTTCCCTGGGGGTGTAGGGCAGGGGCTTCCTGCTGTAGGCTGGGTTTCCTGGGGTCTCCCGTGACAGGAACCTCTTTCGTGGCCGCCGGCCTTTGGCAGACCCTGGCCCACCGGGTGGGGCCTTACTAGGGGTGGAGCCTCCGTGCAGAAGGGTTTCCCTAGAGCCTGGCCTCCGTGGGGCGTGTCTTCTGACCTAGTCCCCTTGGGGGCGGGGCGATCCCAAGGGCGTGGCCATCGAGGGGCGTGCCCTGGGCCCTCAGGGGCAGGGCCCGCAGCCGCACTTACAACTGTGATGACCTTCAGTTTGCTGGCCAGGTGCTCCAGGCTCTCCTTAACCACCTGCGCCGTTCGCATGGCGCGCTCCAGCTGCTCCTGGGCCTTAGTGCGTCGCTGCTCCTCTGTCTTCAGGCTCTCCTGCAACTCAGCTTGCAGCTTGTCCTGGCTGCAGGGCGCAGAGAGAAGTCACCCTCGAGCACTGCCGAGCCTGCACGCCTCCCACAGCCTCCCATGCACCCCACAACCGGGCCTCACCTCACTCGAGTGGCCTCCCCAGAGTACTTGAGGTCTTCGAGTTCCCGCTGCAGCCGATGCTTCTCCTCCTTGAGCTTCACCAGTGCCTCCTCGTTTTCCTTCTTGAGGCTCTCCAGCTGTGTGAAGGTGTAGTCCTGGGCCAGGAATCGCCGCACCACCGACTGCGGGCCAGCCAGCCCCAGTTAGAGCCAGGCCAGGGAGGCGCGGGCGCCCGTCCATCCCGTGCACAGGACTCGAGTCTAAGCTGGTATTTGCATTTTAGTTTGGCAATATTAGGAACTGAACCCAGGGCCTTCACGCTGAACTGAATCTCCAGCCCTTGTTTATGTTTTACTTTGAGAAACAGTTTTACTAAGTGGCTAAATTGCCCTGGCTGACCTGGGACTTGTCCTCCTCCTGCCTCAGCCTCCCACAGTGCTGGGCTGACAGTTGGTGGATTCTGCACAACAGAGAGGACGGATCTATCTGTGTGTGTTCAGGCCCAGGGCTACCTTAAGTGGTGCAGCCCCTGACATCGTTTTTCCAATGCCCTTCTTGCTCCATAGTTAAGAAATTTGAGTCCACCAAAATCAGCCAGTAACTTCTGGAGGTAAATCTCACACAGGGAAATAACCATGCACCTAGGGGCCCAATCTCCTAGGCATCGACCCTGTGGGAGTAGGGGCCATAGAGGACCCAAAGAGGAGAGCCTGGCTGACAGATCAGCTTAAGACATACCCAGCACCACAGTGGAAAAGGAAGAGTCTAGGAAATTTTCAGAATTATTGCACAGTATGAATAGCAGGGGCCCCACCTGCCGGGTCTGAGGGAGGCCCTAGAGGTTCCACAGTTCTTAGAATGTTACCGGCACTGCTGTGGACACAAGACAGACTAGAGTCTTGGGTCTCCTTGGCCAAAGAAGTGTGAAGCTGGGAGTGGTAACACACGCCTGTCACCCCAGCACGCAGCAGGCTGAGGCAGGAAGACAGCCACAAGTTCAAGGCCAGCCTGTACTACACAGAGAAACCCTGTCTTTAAAACAAAGAAATGAAGTACAGAAGGACAGGGGACAACGGCCAGGTGCAGGCGGCTCTCCTGGGCTTCGCAACAGTTGGAGGGGGAAGGGATGGATGTCTTTCAAGAGAGCGGTTTGTGTGATGCAGACCTGAACGCACAGGGAGGATGTGCTGGGCCGGACTCCTGCTTGACTAGGGGTGGAGGGGGCGGCGGGGCGGCGCTCACGTGCGTTTCAGCGGCTCCAGTGGCATCCTTGACCTTGCTGAAGGTCACCTCCATCTGGTACATGCTCCAGCGCCGCCGAAGCTCCTCCTCCTTGGCACGCTGGTGGTCTTGGATCGTGTCTTCGGACTGCAGCAGCAGGTGATCGCGCTGGGTCTGCTCCCGGGGGAGGTCAAAGCCAGGCTCAGCTGCTGGGAGAAGGGCTTGGGTGCACGCAGGGGGAGTGGGGGTAGGGACAAGGCTTGGGGTCAGGTGAGGGCACCCAGGCGCGGGTCAGCAGGACTAGGCAGGACAAGGCCTCAGAGCCAGGGCAGGGGGCGGAGTCAGAACAGGGGCGGGGCTTTAGGAAAGGGTGGGTTAAAGGTAGGGCCCGAGGTGGAGGAGAGGAGGGGGCAGGGGCGGCCCCGCAGGGAGGTGGGCGGGGCGGCGCCAGGGAGGGGCGGGGCTAGGAGCAGCGCGGTGGCAGGGACAGAAAAAAGGTCCAGGACTCCAGGTTGAGGGTCAAGTGGGGACGTGGCTGGGAGCAGGCCAGGCCAGGCTGCGCGGCTGGCATGGCTTGAAGGCCTGTGCCCTGCTGTCCCCACCTTGCGTTCCATGCGCTCGTTCTGGAGTTTTTTCTCCTCTGCGCGCTTCTTGCACTCAGATATGTATATCTCCCGCTTCTTGCGCTCGCGGATCACCTTCTCCTCCAGATACTGCAGTTGGTTCTGCAGGGCAGGCAGTGGGTGGCGGCTGGTACCTAACGGGACTACAGAGAGCCACGGGCGCAGGTCTACAGAGCTGGTGTGTGACAACTTTTTTTGGAGAGAGGTTTTGGGTTTTTTTTTTTTTTAATTTTAGGGAAGGGTCTACAGGGTGTTCAGGGTCTCATTACTAGATCCGACTCGTGATCCGCCTATTTACAGCCTCCCAAGAGGTAGGATTACAGGCGCGCGCCACCACGCCCAGTCTCAATTGCCATGTCAGGGTGCCCTGGGGGCGGAGCCAGCATGGCATGGCAGGCCCGAGAATCAAACCCCCGGCCCCTGCACTGCTTGTAGGCGCTTTAATCTGCTGAGCTATTTGGCTGGCTCTGGAGAGAGGGTCCTGCTATAGAGCTCAGGCTAGCCTCGAACAGAGGTCCTCTGGCCTCAGCCTCCTGAGTGCCAAGATCACAGGTGTGCACCAGCACTCCTAGCTCGCTTTGTTTTCTTTGGCAATGGCACCCAGGGTCTCGTGCATGCTAAGCAAGTGCTTTCCGCTGAGCTGCATCCCTAAGCCCCACTCTGCACAGCTAAACCAGGCCACAGGGTGCGGTGAGTGGGGAGCACGGGGCTCAGAGGCAGCTGAGGTCTGACTTGGGCCCGGGAAATATGGCAGCTGGGCAGGACCCCAGGACAGGAGACCCTGGCACCTTGGCAGTGTCCCTGGCGTTGAGGGCCTCTTGGTTCACCACGTGCAGTTCCTGCACCTCCTGCTTAGCCTTCACCACTTCAGCCTCCATGGCATCCAGCTGGTTCCCCAGGGTGAGTGCCTCCTCCTGAGGCATGGGATGGTGCCGGCTGTAATTGCTGTCCCCAGTAGCCTGGCCTCCGCCTCCCAGGCTGTCCCCCTTCCTGGGCTACCTGCAGACAGGCCTTGAGCTGCAGATACACGCCAGTGATGTATTCGGCCTCTTCCGCCTTCATGCGGGCCTTCTCCAGCCGGTTCTCCAGGTTCCGCATGGTCTAAGGCAGCAGCACAAGGCTGAGTCCCGTGAGACTCTACCCGGACCCCAGGGCCCTCCTGCCCCTGCAGCCCCACCTTGGCCATCTCAGTGTTGCTGTCCTGCACTTCGGCCACCTCCAGCTGGCGCAGGCTCTCCTGCAGCTGCAGCTCGTCCAGCCGCCTCTGTCGCAGCACCACCTGGTGTCGCAGGGCATTCAGCTGCTTCACCTTCCCGCTCAGCTGGTGGTCCAAGTGCTCCAGGGCCTGCTGTGGGTGGGACAGGGAGAGCAGGCCTCCTTCCTTCCTGCTCCTGGGAGGTGGCCCTCACCCCTGTCCTTTCGCAGCATTGACCTGAAGCCTACCACCTCCTCTGTTGGCTTCCTGGGCCCTCAGATTCCACACTGTTCTGTTGATGGTCTTACACAATCTCAGGGGCTTAGAGGCCATTCACTTCAAACTTAGTATCTATCTCCTTTGAATCTCTTTCTTTGGTACTGGGGATGGAACCCAGAGCCTTCCCGCTGAGCTACATGACCTCCATTTATTTATTTATTTATTTATTTATTTATTTATTTATTGTAAGACAGAATCTCCTTAAGTCACCCGGGTTGGGCTCAGGCTTGCAATCCTCCTGCCTCAGCCTCCTAGAGTGTTGGGATTTCAGGCATGTGCCACCACACTCGGTCAAACTGCAGCCTGTCACATTCACGGTTCCCTCTAGATGTCTCCAGAGGCACCTCAAAACCATCGCACCTGGAATTGAGTGCCTGTTACCTGCCAACCAGTCACTGCTGCTCCATCCTTCCAGTTACTCCAGCCCCAGCACTCACGCGGTGGAGCTCCGAGGTAGGGCTCTGCTTTGCGAGCACGAGGTCCGGGATTCCATTCCATAAACAAGACGCACACCTCCACGCAAGCCTCAGCTTGTCTCTCTCCCGCCTACACCCGTCAGGTGGCAGTTTCTCTGGACTCCCTGGCATCTCCCTCGGCCTCTGCCCCTTTGGTGGCTCCACAGCTCAAGCCACCTTTCACCTTGGTAACCTCCTCCTGGCCTCCCGTTGAATCCTTGAAGTTCCTTTTACACTTACGATTCTGGGTATGAAGTCCACACTGGAAGCAAAATGTGTGGTGCATTCAACGTGGGCAGGGAGTTTTATTCCAACCACACTGGCCTGCGTCCAGGTCTGTGACATGCCAGGGTTGCCTCTGCCACAGGGCCTTTGCGCCAGCTGTTCCCATTCCCTGCCTGCCTGCTGGATTCTTGGCTCAAACATCGCCTCCTCCACGAAGAGGTCACAGCTAAGCCCTCCCATGCTAAGGCACCAGCTCCCCTAAGGCACCAGCTCCCCACTTCTGTCACTCCCTAGGACACAACCTTTCTTTCTTGTTTTCATTTCTCTTGTCATTGCTACAAAGTCTTTTGTTTCTATATTAGCTGTGTTATAAAGATTATAAAGATCTATATTAGATCTTTATCATTTACTTTTTCGTGGTACTGGAGATCAAGCCTAGTGAGAGTCTGCCACTGAGCTAAGTCCCCAGCCCTTTTTATTTTTTATTTCAAAACAGGGTTTCACTAGGTTGCCCAAGCAAGACTTTTGCCTGTGACCATCCTGCCTTAACCTGCATAAGTGCTCCAATTACAGGTACGTGCCCAATAACATGTATTTATTTTAATTTAAAAAAATATGTATTTGGTACAGGGTCTCACCATACAGCTCTGACTCATAGTGATCCTCCTGTTTCAGCCTCCCCAGCACTGGGATTACAGGCATGTGCCACCACACCTGTTGTTGGTGGCCAGCTCAGCACACCCAGGGGCAGGGCTGGCACAGCATGCAGTACCAGGGGTCAAACCTGGGTCCTTGTGTTTGCCTAGGCAGGTACTTAGACACTAAGCTATCTCTGTGCCCCTTTAATTTTAATTTAAAATTAGTTTTAGAGTCTTGCTGTGCAGCCCAAGACTGACCTTGAAAACACTACAGAGTCCAGGGTAGCCTCAGATTCATGAGATCCTCTTGCCTCAGGCTTCCAAGTGCTGGGATTATAGGCATGCTCCATCACACGGGCTTACTGTTTTTTACTTTAAGACAGTGTCTCACTCTGTTACCCAGGCTGGCCTCAACCTGTGATCTCCTGCCTTAGTTTCTCGTTTGGCCCATGTGTCTCACCAGGCAGACACTTGGACTACTGAGCTATCACTCTAGTCCCTAGCTCCATAAGAGCCAGGATTACACGCATGAACCACTGTGCCTAGCTTGTTTGCTTTTAATTTTTTAAGGGATGGGAGCCGAGCATGGTGGCGCACACCTGTAATTCCAGCATTCTGGAGGCTGAGGCGGGAGGATTGTTGCGAATTTGAGACCAGCCTGGGCTACAGAGTATGCTCAAGGCCTCCCTGAGCTGCATAGTGAGACCCTGGCGCAGAGAGAGAGAGAGAGAGAGAGAGAGAGAGAGA